TATATATGTATGTATGTATATATATATACTGTATGTATGTATATATCTATATATGGCAGTACTCTGACTAACCTCCAGGGGGCGTCTGAAGGCACAAAATTAAATTTGTGCTGTGCTCATCTCCATACTGTATTTTGTTTACAGTAAATAAAATAAATGCAGGTTCTCAGGTTTCTAAAATGTCACAAGAGCATTATGCGACAAAGCAGTGCCTGCACACAATGGAAGCCATTTTGTCATTGTGTCATCGACACTCTTCTTGCCTCGCCTTCTTGCTGTAACGTCGCGTTTTTAATCAAGCCCTCCGTAACGAAGTTGTGTCTGTTGTAGGTTGTTGTTGATGGAGAGGAAGTTGAAGTGGTCGGCGAGTGGAACCTGGCCTCTGCACTGCTGCCGCTTACCATCAACGGCAAGAACAGAATGCTGCAGGTAACACACACATACTCTGCTTGTGGTGGTAGATTCCAGGAGCCCAGCTACAGTGTGGTAATATTTGTTTCTGTGTTGTAGTGTCTGCACAGGGACGCCTCAGGAAGGATTGTCCTGCAGTACCTGGGTACATCGGTAGGTGTGCCTGTAGCTGTAACCTTGAGCAAATGTTACTTAGTTACTTTAAATGACTTGATGCAAAAAAGTCTTCTATCCAATCTACAACTAGTTGGTTTTAATCAACAATTCAAAGAACCAGTGGTGTAAGTTGAGAATTCTGTGATCCATTTTTGAACACTTGTACTGTAAATTCATGCCACGAAAGAACACTGAAGTTCTGACAGTGACAGCTCTGTCCACCGGGGGGCAGGCAGGCTCGTTTTGCGTTACATGATAAAGTTATTGCCTGGTTTGGCTGAGATATGGCCACAGGAGCTCTTTGGTTGGCAATCCTCGACCTGCGACCAGCCATTGTCCAATGACAGGCTAGAGTCAGCGTTCTCTGGTTACATTAAAATAGTGGTAAATCCGCATCCGCATTTAAACTTTTACGCTGTAACGCAATATAGCAAATTAAAATACTTTTAGAGGCAAAACTACTCAAAACTGCCAAATTACTCAAAAAGTACTCAATTACAGTAACCTGAGTAAATGTACTTTCCATCTCTGTTTTAATTTACGAATTGTACTAATGAGTGAATGTGTCTTTCTCTCTTCTCTCTCTACTACTTTGACAAATGTTAATGCCCAGAAAAATGTGAGGGGTGCTGGCGGCAGTAGACATGGTTTATTTTTATAAATCGGCTAAGGGCACCCCCCCCCCCCCGCACCACTGTGTGTGTGCGCAGTTTCAGATGCGAGTTCTGTCCAGGTCTACTGCGGCGTTGAATTCTTTAATGCCAGAGAAAGTTCCTGAAGACACCAGCAGCATCTTGCGTTCACCGATGCCTGGCACGATGGTGGCCGTGTCCGTCAAGCCTGGAGATACGGTAAAGTTGTTGTTCAACAGTAACAACGAGGGCTAAGTGTATAATACTATAATAAGTGTACCACATTACCTTTATGGTGTGTACGTATATTCAAGCAGGACTAGTATAATTACAAGGATGTTTACGTGAGTGTATACATAGTTTAGATATATGAACAGTCTAAATGGTTGAGTAATTAAATAATTGCATTAGCTAAACAGCTAACTGTGTAGGCAGTTCCAGCAGATATATTTGATATATTGTTACTAGGACCTGCTATACATACATAATATAAAATGTATAATATGTGTGTATGTATATATATATCTATGTATATATATATATATGTATGAATATATGTATGTGTATATATGTATGTATATATATGTATGTGTATATACAGTATATGTACATATATATAATACTGTATGTGGCTTCTTTTGTATGTGTTTAAAGATAGTGTGAAGCTTGAAGATATCAATGCAGGTCACTGGTCTTTGTGTTTTTTTTATTTATTTTATTATTATTATTTTTATTATTATTATTATTATTTCGTATTAAAGTGTGTTTTTTTTTTAATCTAAATTATTTTTGAATTATTCTGTTACCTTGTCCATTGACTTGACCATCTGTCTTCGTGTGTGTTTTCATGTCTAGGTCGCAGAGGGTCAAGAGATCTGTGTGATTGAAGCCATGAAGATGCAAAACAGTTTAACGGCAGTTAAACAGGCAAAGGTAACGACGTGAACCAGAGACGGTGAAGGCCCTCATTAAGTCAAAGGACAGATTTTTAGACAAACCTTTACGACATTATAAGGTTTTTTGAAATGAAACGACCCAAAAAATATTCATTTGAAAGCTTAAAAAAAAAAAAAATTGTGTTTTTAAAAGGTTTTCATGTCCGTCTTTCTCCAGGTAAAAACGGTCCACTGTAAGCCGGGGGACACGGTGGGAGAGGGCGACCTGCTTGTAGAGCTGGAATAAATTCAACCTTTGACCTTTGGCGTGTGTTACTTGAGTCGCCAGGATGAGCCTTACCCTTCATTTAGTCTTTAGCCGACAGGATGTTCGCTGGAACATAAACTGGACAATGAGAAATGCCGGTGGACAGAGTCATCACGTCATTGGTCAGCTGTCAGTCATTTCACTGTTTCCATCTTGGTCTATGTTTTCTACAGCTCCACATTAGCCCGGCGTTAAAGGGAGAGTTCAGGTATTTGAAGTGCGGTTGTATGGTGTTGTGTTCGTCAGAACTGGCTGCGCTGGGAATCCCCTGCATCCACAGCCAGCATAGCGTAGCATAGCATTGGTAATGTGATAAACACTAGGGAAACAAAATGATCTTCCGTATGGACTCTGGCAGGATGTTACATGTGAATGTCGTAGGTTTTGTACGGCAACCTCTGAGTTGTCGCTAAAATCAGATCTTTTCTGCGATCACTTTTGCGTCAATCCTGTACAACCCGGCTTCTAAAAGCCTTTACTATCCCACTTAAGAGCCAGTTCACAACCATTACACGAATCCTCTCACTTCTGGTTGTCTGACGACACTGAAAGGAATTCAGTATCGGAATAAAACAGACCCTGCAGATGGAAATAACTGTTTGGTGAAGTGGTTCAGCTCCTTTATGTTGGGGTGAAATAGATGCCTTTGAAACTGTGTGTAGTTTGAAATTGGGAAATGTTGGGAGGAAACTGGGTTGAACTGACGTTGTCACTTTATAAAAATCAATAAATCTCCTTTTTTTTTTTCCAGTAAATGTGTGATATGTCGTGGCTCCGTGACGTTCACTTGGTACACACAGAGAACGAGAGACGTTAGGGGCTAAGTTTTCGAGGTGTACAGTAATGAATTACATTAACTCAAGTTACTGTAATTGAGTAGTTTTTTTTAAAATAATTTGTAAATTTTAAGTCGTTTTGGGAATAGGTCATTTTACTTGTCTGGATATTATGACATCGTGTGGATATGCAAAGTTTACAAACCCCTGTGAAAGAGCCAGGTTTTATGATGTGAAAAAAAACTAGATCACAGGAGGAGAATGACAAAAAACAAAAAATCTTGTTTGAATTAGTGTGCCTTAAACTAATGCTTCCTTAGGACAAGTTCGTTCAGTTTTGGGGAAGTAAACAGGAAGCAGGACATACCAAGGTCCAGGGCTAAAAAGGCCAATGTCATCATCACCAGCACATTTCCTTTACCGGCTCTAAACTAGTCATTCTTAACCGTAAGGCGCCATCTAGAGGGCCGCAAAATTATTTCAGTTTTCTTTCTGTGGGCCACGAGAGCTGCGGGACTGCATAGGGTTATCAACTGAACTCTCCATAGACCACTGTATGTTATCAATGAGGAGCTCAGTTACAATGACGTTTTCGACCACATGGTGTCAGTAATTCTTCCTGCCTGCTCCTGTTATCCACTGAGTTTCTGTTATTTTGGAGTTTGAGGAATACACTTCCTGCACCTGAAAAGAGTCTCCTGAGTGCTGGGTTTGGGTCCTGCCTGCTTCCTCTCAAGGCCTCATCTTAACAACGTAATGTAATTCAGTGCATTATTATTATTATTATTATTATTATTGTTATTTACACAGGGTTGAAGCATAAACATGGACCCGAAAGAGGAGATGCAGTGCACAAGCTTTTATTTAGCTTTTTTTTTCGTGTTACAAGCAGTGGCATCACAAAATTTTTAAGGTTATAGTATGAGCATACAATGAATGCAACACTTTATACTTATTCAGTATAACCCTTATATGGAACAAATCTATAAATTAATTCATTTAGGGACATATTTGTATTATTTGGAGATTGAGTTAGGCGTAAATAGTTTTTAAAACAATGTTTTATGCGATAGAAAAAAACAACCATTGTTGTTAAAAGTCGTCAATTACTATATGCAGAGAGAGACCTACAAATAAATGAAATAAAGGGCCATTTCACCAGTAATTCATAGTAAAAAAATAGAGCATAAATGCTCATCGACGCTGTGCAATAAAGCTGTAGCTGCTTTTTTTGGGTTTTTTTTTTTTTTTTACTCTGCAGTTATATATGGACTTCAGTATATTTCAATGTGGACTTGCAATTCCACCTTAACATGGTTCATATTGACGGATGAGCTTGAGACATGTTCTGATTAGTCGCGTTCACAATTAGGCCAGAGTAAAGATCTAAGACACAGAGAAAAGCCAAACACAGGAACCTTAATCCATTACTTGCTTCATTCTCACTGAGAACATAACAAGGATATATCTACAATTTTGGACCACTTGTCCACTGGTCCCATTTTGTCTGATTCCAGTTTGTTTATTGTTATCTCTCGCAGCATCTTTCAACTGGTCATGGTTTAGTTGAAGGGCCGTGGTGGTCTTTATGACTTTGGACCAAGATAGTTCCATTCTAACTTTAAAATATCAATTACTGAGACCCTATGTATTCCATTCTAAAATATCAATTACTGAGACCCTATGTCTGTATCTGTTTTGACCTGACTTGATTTGACCTGTTTTGAATTGTGCTGTTTTTATTCGACTTGATCTGTTCTGACTTGACTTATCTCAAATTTTATTTTTTGGGGCGTAAACACTACAAGATTTGACCATTCCGAGTTCCAGAATCTGGCCAAAAATCTCTGTTGTGAAGTACCGGGAGTTTTGGAACACTGTGTGAGAGCCAAATCCCAGTTTGTCCATGCAGCATTACGAGTCCTTTGGCAAGTCGAAAGACAATGAGACATTTTTTTAAATTGTTGGGATATTTTGTCTTCAGAGGGGAAATGAAGGTAAAATTAGCTGATCCCACCTTTACTGTGAGCATATGTTGATGGTGCAGCGGCTTCCTTTTTTTGGCCGTTTACTGTGAGCAAATGATGCTCTAGCAGCGGCTCTATTTGGTGGCTGGTCGTTGTAGAGCACGTACTTCAAACCATTGCCCTGAAACACTGAGAATATAATACCACACTTGTTTTCAGCTGCGGTGTAAACATGCAAACCTTACCGGGTTGGTATAGTAATCAAGAAGAAGTTCCAAAGTTCTTCCCAGAGACCCATTAGGATTATTGATTAGCTGAGTGCCATCAATCCATGCCAAAAACACACACAGAATTCCAAAAATAGAGTTATTTAAATACAAGAAGGTTTTTTTTTAATAGGAGTCATTTCAATGGTTCTCAAGCTTTCAATTCAGTGCTGGTTCTGAGTCAGGATCAGTTCTAGCCACAGATGCAGTACAGATCCAGACGGGACTGACAAACTTCACTTTGTTGAAAACAAATAACCTTGTTACAAACACAATTCAACATTAACAATTCGGAGGCTGAATCTCACAGTGTGTTACTGGATAAAACTCAGCTTTCAAGGGTTAAATTGAGGATATATATGTAGAGAAGAGTATTTGTTATTTATATTTTCATAATTTGTTTTGGCACAATAGTTTAATGAGATACAATGCCATAAAGTTAAATCACAATTACAGGTTCCTTCATTCCTAATTTTACGACTGTTATGCAAGGCACTGGAGTAAATGATCAAATACATATACAGTATAATCTAACTATATAATACATATATACATATAATACATATATATGTTAAATATACAGTATATTCTAAATATAATATATATATACATATATTATATATATAATATTAAATATAGAGTATAACTAAACATTATATTTATTCAGTATTATTATATTCAGTATTATAATCATACGTTCCATTCCTATTATTTACGACATTTGTGGTTACGTGACCATTTGGCGCCAATTTCATAAGAGTTTCTTAATACAGTTGTCTTCGACTCTGTCTGGGCGGTGCGCTGCAATACAAGTGAAGTGTCATGGCTCAGTCACGGCTCACCGACAGTCACAGAAAGTAACACCGCAGATGTATGTGTTATTTTTTTTTATTAATTGTCAATTTAATTCCTGAAGTCCAAATACGCCATTAGTTTTATCTGTATATATATATATATATACATATATATATATATATATAATACATTATTTGGCCTGAACTATATACACGTGATTTTATTAGATCGTTTTCTATCGTTTTTATATGCATTAAAACACGTGATATGCAACTGGGTGATAATTATATCCCTGTGTTTAATGCAAGTAAATAAAAAATGACATCTGATCTTTTTTTTTTTTTTAAACAGGTTACCTGGTGGAACAGTGAGGATGAGATGTTTTTGTTTTGTTTTCTTTGGAAACTGAGATTTACAAGATGTTAAACGTCTGAGAAACAAATGATTCTGCTAAACGACACATTCGGGGGGAAAAAAAAACCTTCAAAAGGCTAAATATACTGGTAAATCATATATTTGTAAGGTCGGTCACGATATTTGACTTTGTTCTAATTAAAAAAAAAAACTCACCCCGTAATCATTTTCACACAAAACGCTAAGAATGATACCAAAATGTTTGTTTGTTTGTGTGAAAATAATGCCAGGAGGTTTATCTGTATTCGGTTCTAAGAAAGTATCGTCATTTCAATGACTCGGTTACGTTGATAATATCGTCAACTTCTTCTTTCTGGCTTATAATTATACAATGTTAAAATATACGCTTGACGTTATGTTTTGTTTTATGCAAAAAAAAAAAAAACATGATGAAAAATACAATGAAAATGATTATACATTATCAAGATTTAACGTTATGAAGAATAATCGAGCGAGTTGTAGTATGGAAGTATTCTTCCATTAAAGAAGGTAACAACTGTTGACGCGATGTGTCCTTTATTTTTATTTATTTTTTCAACTTTCACTATCGATTGTTCTGCATCTGTAGTTGTTGTAATTAATATTTACTGTACAGAAATGTACGGACATTTGTGATAAGAAAATGTTGATCTGGTTCTTATTGTCCTTATACTTCCGTATTACTAATCTTTTCGCGGGTTTCCCGGGTAAGAAATTCACCTTCCATATTCTTACATTCTCGTTTTTTTCTTTAACAAGAATCTAAAATTAAAGCGTTAAATCGGTAAATAACTACACAAAACAACACAAAGATATGTGTACATTTTGTTAGAAAAGTGAAATTGACTGCGTGGACGCTTCCACCTGCAACCGAAAAGCGAGCCCAGCAGCGCATTTGAACGGACGACTGTTTTATTGGGCCCGTGTTCGTCATATATATAAACTGTATACAAACGAAAAGGCACGCGGTAATGCCCCTGGATTACACTGCAGTAAAAACGGCAGTAAAGTCCCGCAGTGTTGAGTAAGAGAACGAAATCTCTCGAAACGGAGACAATGCGTCCTCTCTGGCTCTAGGATTCTGGGATCTCGACCCAGACTTTGAACAAGACGGTAAGCAGACGGCAGAAGCAGTGAGTCCAAGGCTGTTTGTGAACCTTGAACTGCATAAGCATCCACAACACACCACATGCATCACACGACCCCCCCCCCCCCCCCCCCCCCACCCCCCCCCCCGCTTTTCTGTGCCAACACAACAGGGCAATACTGAAGGGCTGCTGTATATTTGGCCAATCGTTTTCTTTCCTGCCTCACGCATTCACTCGAGTATTCGTGTGTGTGTGTGTGTGTGTGCCTGACGTACAAAGAAAGACAAACATAAAAAGAGAGACTGTGTCTCTGTCAATGTGAAATAAAGGCTTTCTGTTTATTGGTGGTAATACATTTGACTATAGGGAGGCCTAACCAGGTTCTGCTAACTGAACGATCTGGATAGATACAAAACACAAGAAAACACACACACACACACATATATAAAATATATAAATATAAATAATATATATAAACATATACAAATATATATACACGCACACATGTGTACATATAGTTTCCCGAACTCCCGAGGGATTAATAATGTTAATAAACGTTTTGCAGGACATTTAGCGGACATACCAAAAAACAAAAAACAAAAAAAACAAACAAACAAAACAGCGTGACAACAGACGTCTAGCAATACATTAAACTACGTATAAATTAGTTGCGCGTTAGAAAATATTAAAATCAATTCCAGAAGTCCATTATACTTCATCCATACGTCAGTGGGCGGTACAACCCAATTTATACAGGTGCACGGGGTCTCGTTTTTCCGAGACCTTATATCGCGAGAGAGTCAAAACTGGCACAACTGATTCACGTTGAACATGTCAATGATGTTGCTAAATATATGACCCGGGATTTACTGTATGCGAAGAGATGGGTGAAGTGATAACATTTATTTAATCAATGATTTTATTTTTCACAAGATTTTATTTTCATCAGGAGCAGCAATTGTAGTAATCGGGTAAATACTGATAAATGTGCTGTGGTATTTGTCGATAAAATATATATTCTGACCCTGCTGCTCCCTGGTGGTAGAAAGAGAAGGAATCATAACCGTAGGCCCTCGGTGTGTTGAGTTCCGACTTCTGTCATAACACATCATTTATTTGTTCAATATTTTGAACAATTTTGAATGTGTTCAATAAATGTGTTCAATCACTGTCGATTGCGCACTTCCTGGATTAGAGACATGCCGCCACACGTTTCGACACGTTCCACTTTCTTGTGCTGAATGCAGAACTGATATAATTTTTTGCCTGCTTGATATGATACAATGCTTAATTAGTTAGTTAATGCTGAGCTCAACCCTTTTTGACAACACAATTATCGAGAAATAGCGCCTTGCCAGGAAATCCTATGTTTTCTTATGACTCCCACGTACATCTGAGTAAAAGCGTGAACAACGTGTTGTTTGGCTTTTGAACCGTGGACGTGTTTTAATATTTACCTTGAAACCAAAAAAAAAAAAAATACAGGATTAAAGCAGTAAATTTTAGCATTTAGTTCACAAATTAAGAGATATTTTATCTTCTGGCTCATCAGCATCGACAGCATAAACGTCAACATTTTACGTCGGTACTCATGTTACGACTTTATTCTCATACTTTTATGACTTTATTCTCTCACAAATACCAATATTCCGTCGTGTAAATTCTATTTCAGCAGCAACAAAATAAATATTAAAACGCGCTTTGATTGTGAAATAAAACAAGGGACAGATACACATGGGGTGGCAGCGACATTGGCTTCGCCAAATACATTTACTGAATTTGCTTTCAGTCTGCATATATATTTTTATTTAAATATATCTCAGCTAGACCACGAACAAATGTGTTGCGGATTTGTAAAATAGACGAAAAGACAGAAATATGGTCTGCGAGAAACAGGCGGAAGTCAACAAACCGGTTTCACTGTGATTATTATCATTTGGCCAGAAGATGGCGCAAAGAGTGCACAGGAGAAGGCGATTCCGGTCCATGGTTGGAAGGTTGGGACATTTTCTGCATCTACTCGACAGCCGTTTGACTTCATAAACGACGAAACTAAGGCTATTATACTCTGAGTAATATATGTGATTTGATACTTTTCGTATCGTAGATAGATAGATAGATAGATAGATAGATACGTGATTTGATACTTATCGTATCGTAGATGGATGGATGGATGGATGGATGGATGGATAGATAGATAGATAGATAGATAGATAGATAGATAGATAGATAGATAGATAGATATCTTTACTCGGATCGTAAATTGCTCATTTGCTACTTTGACTTTTTGTTTTTCATAAATCAGCGCATTAACCCGTGGTTTACACAAGGTCCGCCGTTTTTTTTAAAATATGTGCTACAACCGGGTACATCTAACAGCTGTCTTGTAGCCCGACGATAGCGTTTATACAGGATGGGGGAAAAAAAAAAGATTTATTTATCATAGCGGGTAAATAGAGTCTAACCATGTGGTGCAGGCTGTAACCAATAGGCAGCTGAGGAGAAGGTTAGAAAAAAAATACTACCATTTTAGGAGAGGATGTAAGCCACTATACCAGCCCATCTAGCGTTTTAGAGACGCTGTTAAGTATCCCTTAATTAAAATAATAAAGTAAATATGTCGCTAACGAATTATTATTCTATGATGGGGCTCCAGGCCGAGGAGTCGTATGGTGCACATCTCATTCCGGGAAGTTTGCAGATTTCGAACGCTGGCTGCGCAAAGTCAGTCCGAGGAGCACGGGACGTGGAGGAGGACACTCCCGGCTCACACATTCCGGATATTTCACATTTTTCAAATAAACAAAGCAGCTTAAATGGGTTTTCCCCTTGGACAAACACTTCGACCTCCTCCCCGTCACCGTCCCCGTTGCAGCAGCCCGCCGCCGGCGCCTCCATCGCTGGGCTTTTTCAGCCGCATCACCTCCTCAGCCATCACCACCAGTACTATGGCGCGCAGACGCAGAGTCACACCGCCGAACACCTCGCCTGTTCGGCGTCTTCGGAGGGCAGGTTTGTCCGCTGCTGGGAGGAAGTGACTCCAGGTTCGGACGCGACTGTGTCCCAAGCGGCTTTTCCTGCCGGCTGTCTGTCCGGTCAGAGTGACCATTCTACTCTGAGCTCGAGGTACGAGACGGTCAAACCTGAGAACTCTTCACCGCCGTCGAACGGCAGCCCGGGGGATTCGAGCTACGCAAGCGCGGCCGAGGTGGTGCTCGAGCGGCTCGGCACCGTAGAGGAGCTCGGAGGAAACCCAGAGCCGAAGAAGGAGAAAGACGAGAAGACACAGCACCAAGAGCAACAGCAGCAGTTTGACCCGGGTAAGGACAGTCACTTTACGTCTGTGTTTACTGTGTGTGTTAATGTGTGTGCGTGTGCACGTGTGCGTGTTTAGCGAGGGAGAACACGGCCTAAGTGTGAGTGCGTGACTTTAATTGGCCTATAAATGTCTTGTAAACTGTAAAAAAATCAACCATTAAAATTTTAAGCAGCTTTTGTTTTGTTATTAGGTCATTCGTCACTCTGAACAGGGCACCGAGTATTAAACGGGACAAAGTTTAGTTTCTCCGTTGGAACATATTGTTTTTCCTTACAAAATAAATACAAATAAAACATAAAGCCAATCGAAAGAAAAAAAATCGTATTTACATTTGAAATATTTACACAGGTAAATACTGCATATTACAGCATTACATGTAAAACAGAAAATACTCCTAAATAAAATAATTTTGATGGGAATATTAAAATTGTCTTGGAAGGTTCGAGAAATCACATGTAAATGGAACTACTGGCAAATACAGGCAAAAATATTTTAACCTTGATAGTTTGCTTTTTTTAAAAAAAAAACAACTACTGGCAAATACAGACAAAAATATTTAAACCTTTATAGTTTGCTTTTTTTTAAAAAAAAACAACAACAACACATCTGTCCGTGTACTTGTGTGTGTTAAAACAGAGATAACGAAATTGTTTATTGTCGGGAATGTTCCGAGTGTCCTAAAATTAATTTCTTACTAAAAAAAAAAATTAAATAAATGTCGCCGGATCCGCTCCTCAGATTCTGTGCTGTTAAACGTCAAATGTCTTGTCACATTCCACTTGTTGCTGTCTCTCTGGCTGTGTTTTCGACAGCCGTGAGGATGCCTGACTTTTAGATAGCTAGCTTGATAAATAGCTATCTATCTAGCTATCTGCATATAGCTAGCTAGCTAGCTAGCTAGATAGATAGAACTTTATTAATACCGCCAAAGTTTTTTTTCTCGGGAAATGTAGGCTCAATAGTAGCAGTACAGCACCAAAACAACAATAAAAGCACTGTTTTTAAGGACTGTTTGATTCTCCGACTTCTAATTTGTACAGTCTACAGTAGTCTACAGGTGGATAGTCTTTTTAACAGTGGCGTAGCATTAGCAATATTGCCCATTAGGTCGTAAATAAATTGAAAAGAGTGGTGATCAAGAATATGACAGAAATCTAATACACACATACTCACACACATACCTATATACACTCATAAATACATACTCATACTTAATATTGATTTTAAAGGTTTTATAGGGTTAATGGATTCTTCAGAGCTGTCAAATGTTTAGTCAGTTTAGGTTTTCAGGGTTGTTGTTTTGGTCAACAACACAGCGGAATCAATAAGCATATTTTTTGTAAGGACAACAACACAGCGGAATCAATAAGCATAACTTGAATTGTGCTTAAAATGAGAGATTTTACTATTGTATTACAGTGTATGCATTTAGGCTCAGTAAACATAGCAGTTACCGAATTGGCTGATAAATTTTTTTTAAAAAGTCAATGCCCTCATTTTCTGTTGTTTTGCAGAAAATCCATCAGCTAGCTGGATTCATGCAAAGTCAACCCGTAAGAAGAGGTGTCCGTACACCAAACATCAGACCCTGGAGCTCGAAAAGGAATTCCTTTACAATATGTACCTGACCAGGGACCGGCGCCTAGAGGTAGCAGGACTGTTAAATCTTACTGAGAGACAGGTCAAAATTTGGTTCCAGAACCGAAGAATGAAGATGAAGAAGCTCATGATCAGAGAGAGAAGGGGTATTAATGAATAATGGATTGGGAGGGAGGCTGGAGAAGGAGAAGGAGGAAGAGGAGGAGGGGGATTAAGATCAGACCTCATAAAAGAAACTCTGCGACCATTACAAGTTTTACAGACTCCATTTTGGATTATGAGGCTCATCGTGGCCGCCTTACAAATCTGCGGCGGGGAAATATTGAAAGCAAGACCAAAATGTGTTGGGACAAATCCATCTCACTGAATGGGAGAGTTGGAAGTAATGCACAAAAGAAAATGCTATCACGAACAAAGAGATCCATGATTTAAAGAGAAAAAAATACGGAAAGAAAAAAAATACATTTGAATTTTGAATACATCAGTCATTTAGCAGAATACGGAAAGAAAAAAAAAACTCAAAAATTTTGAATACATCAGTCATTTAGCAGGGATCTGTTTTCTGATCACAGTTTTTGTCTCACATGTCTTAAAGAATAGAACTACTTGACACATACTTGAGTTCAAACAACTACCCTGTATATTACTGCATATTGTCTACCAGGATGTGTTTCATGGCTAAAACTCTCATTCCTAAACAGGTCTGTCATAATGTTCCAGGTGCATCTGTGAGGCTGTTAGTTAGCAATGACTTACCCACAATTTTATAAATAAAAGAGAAATGTATAGTTGCAGGCATTTATACAATACTTTGAGAGAAATATATATATATATATAAATATATATATAAACAGTAAAGGTTTCTTGAAACAGAGTCAGAAACATGTGGACGTGAACTGCAAAGGAAGACAGAAAGCAAAATAAAGCTCCTAAATAAAACCTACCGACAGGAGCAGTGTATGTCTTTAGAATAGTGTCAGTGTCAGATGAAGTCAACACCATATGGCCTAGTCTGGACCGGTGTCTTCAAAGTCCATATAACCCCACCAACTAGGGTGAAAGGTTGTCATGAAAAAAGACGTGTTACTGTGTTGAAGTACATTTGAAGGTTGACTTGTAATGTACTGCACAGAGCTACACAGGGCCGTACACTCCCACGTCCCGCTGCGTCACCGGTCACTCCGAGAGGAAGGATTCTTCAGAGGCTTCGATGATTTCTCATGTTTGTGTCTTTGTTTCCCAAAGACTGGGTCGCGACCCTCAGGAGGTTCGCAAGAGTTTTTTTTTTTTTTTTGGGGGGG